AGAGAGAGAGAGAGAGAGAGAGAGAGAGAGAGAGAGAGAGAGAGAGAAATGGAGTAAATTCCAACCCACGAACTTCTAATAGGAAGATTTATAGCAGATTACTAATTATTAATAAGAAAAAAAAAAAAAAAAAAATCTCTTGTTATCATCATTATCGTTATCGGCGATGATGACTATGATGATGATGATGATGATGAAGACGGTGATGATGGAGGCAGCTTGAAAACAGCAAATGAACGTGGCGGCGGTATTAACAATTGTACAATCAAAAGAATGAAATAAAACGGTATGCACGTATGCCTACATACATACATAGATACATACATATATACATACATTATGTATATATATATATATATATGCATATACATTAATAACACGCAGAGATCACCACACAATACATACAAAAAAACGCCATCAGTGAGTTGTTGGTTGTTGATATTGCCACTATAGGCGATACGAGAATACTCGATCGATTAGATTGTAAATGTATGCGAGAGACTAGCTGACTATACATAGTGGACGCAGGCACGCTAACACTTCAGTCATTACCGTCACTTGGAGCTGTTAAGACACTTAACTAAAAAAAACAAGAAATCCGCAAAAAAATAAGTTTTTTATATATAAAGAAGAAAAAAATTTATTTCTTTAAAAATTTCGTTTCAAAAGAATACAAATTCTCATCACGAAGTATATAATATTTTGCTGTCGTTAACAAACAACAAAAAAGAAAGAAAATTTTGAAAGCTTCCTAACAACATAAACGTTAAGAAGAAAATTCAAAAAAAAAAAAAAAAAGCAGACATAATTGTTAATTATTTTATATATAATAAGAATACGAAAAAGAAATTAAATATTCGTGTTTTCTTATTCAACTTTATTGGTAACACCAAGTGAAGCTTCTAGAATAACTAACTGCCTTTATTAGACATTTTGCTGTCTTTGAATCGTAAGAAACAAAAAAAATATATTTCACAACTATGACTACTAAAATGGCCATTGGAGCTAAGGTAAGTGAATGATGATTTCTTCTTTTTTTTTCTCTATTTTTTTTTTTTTTTTTAGAAATAGTAGTAATTGGAAACGCGAATTGAAATTTTAGAAAATGGTATTCGAAAATGTATCAAATATTAAAAAAATATTTTAAGATTAAGAAAAAGAATTGTTTTGGCATTTATCCAATAATTTTTCTATGAATTTTGGTTTTTTTTTTTTTATTTGTTTTTTATTTGTTTTATTATTATTATTATTATTATTATTTTTTTTTTTTTTAAATTTAACTTATAACTGCCATCGGGTAACGATGCATCATATTTATCTTTTCGTTCATTGCAAAAGGGCGTCAAGTTTTCAAGACCCTGTGTTTAAAGCGAAAATCGTTGAGTCGTTGTAACTTTGCCCGCCTGTACGTCTAATACGTTCCTTGAGAGAATGCAAAAAAAAAAAAAAAATGAAGAAAATTTAAAGCATATAAGTTAACACATGATATGACTTTTAAGTGCCTTGAGAGCTTTAATAATAATGAAAATAAGCGGAATCCCTCAAAAAAAAACTTAAATAATTGAAGAGACATCAAACTAACTAGCTTGACAGAAATAGAGAAACAATTTTTTATTTTTTTTGTTTGTACTCTCTCTCTCTCTCTCTCTCTCTCTCTCTCTCTCTCTCTCTCTCTCTCTTACTTTTTCTTTCTGGGTCTCTACTATAAATAATAAACTGCGCGAACTATTGGCTCATTATGCCGCGCTTACATTGTACATATATACATTTTGATATATTGTGTTTATAAATGATTTTCCGTATCGTGTATGAACATCGCGTAAATTGCATATTTTTTTCAATCAGTCGATTTACTCTCGACACTTGACAAGCAATAGGATGAAGGAAACGCGATACAATTCTTAAATTACAATTTTTCTATTTTATTTATTCGTGACGTCATAATGAATATTGAAATAGCCGGTGATGGTGGTGCTTTTACTTTTCATACAATGTTACACGAAATGTTGTTTTTTTTTCAATTTCATTTTCATTTCACTTACGTTGAACGTTAGCAGCCAAGTGCGCAATTTTCTTTCTTCTCTCGGTTAGTTTGATTGAAACAAAATTCAAGGCAAACATTATTACAATGCTCTTGAACTTGAACTTAAAAAAACTGATATTCATTTAAATATTAGAAAAGAAATTTCATTTTTTTGTTTTTTTTTCTTGACTAGAGAGCAGCTTACTCATATAAAACGAAATGAAAAAAAGAAAAAAAAAAAAAAAAAAAAAAAGATAATAATTAACATTTCATTGTTTTCGTGAAGTTCGATATTTTATGATCGAATCATGAGCTCTATAGCTTCAAAATTAAAATGTATATGGAAAAAAGTATATAAAAAAAAAACCTACCAGGTTTAAAGGGAATTTCGTTCGTTACACAAATCAAAGTATTGTTCTGTTAAGGAACAATTTGCTAGATATGAGATGATTTTAAAATATACTACAACGCGAAATATATCTAATTTAATCTGTTAAATTCTCTGATCAAAAAGTTGCAGATATTTTAAGCGATAATGGCATAATGAATACGCATCCTACCTCGCTCTATGCAGGTGCAATGTATACAAAATTAACGTACGCAACGCTGTAACGCACCACGTGTTTTAGCATTTTTTTTCTTTCGTTTTTTTTTTTTTCCTGTTTATGTTAATATCCCGTTAGAAAAATGTATCAGAATTTGAGCCAGTCTATCACTATTGTATATATTGGGCAAAATAAGCTTTTTTTTTTTTTTTTTTTTTTTTTTTTTTGAGCATAAACAAAACATACTCGCTTCCTTTTTTCCCTTAAGATTACAATGAAAACCAATAAACAAAAAAAAAGAAATATTGCGTAATGTAAAACCATAGCCAAAGAATACGGGTACATACAATTTGTGATTCCGGTGATCATGTCATCGAGAGAAGCGCTTGAAAGATTTCAGGTGCGATAAAGTTTTCTTTGATCGTAACTCATATAATGAGCGCTCAGCCACTAAAAATTATGCACCGTCTTCCTACTGCTTTCTCTTTACTCCTCTCCCTACTCTCATTGTCGCCGCGTTACGCGAATGATTGGTCATAGTAAGAAAGGCAAATCAAAAAAAAAAAACAAAATATATATATACATGCATACATATATTCCTTATCAGCATAAGGTTGCAAGCGATTTTATGCATGTTTGTCTATATACATTTGTTTGTTGCATGAACTTTGACGGGCGAAACTTGGCTGCAATAAGACATACATTCATAGGCCTAAGTGTATCGGGTCGTCAAGAATAATAGATTAAATAGATTCTATTATCGACAAATTTCATTTTTGACGATCCATAAAAATAATGGGCGTAACTCACGCCCATGCGCATAATTACTAAAGCCTATGAATATTATAATATATAAATTTGTCTAAAATTATTGTTTAAAACTATTTAGAGTAAATATATTATTAACTTAAAATACTAAGCAAAATGGAAAAAAAGAGAAAAAAAACCCCACAAACAAATATTATTGAAAACATGTGTGAAAAAATATAAGTTGGGAGCTATTGCCTAAAATTTGCGCATTAACACGTAAATGATTCTTCGTAAACAAATAATAATTAATTAGCAGAGGCAAAAAAATTACCAAATTAACCATTAAGACGACATGACATGACAAGACAAGCAAGATAAGCGCAAGAATAACCCTTAAGAAAATTCGTGTGCATATGTTTTATTATCTTTTTTTTCTCCCTTATGCGGCAATAAATTTTAATTAATATTCGGTTCAAATTCTTATTCAGTTTATTATTTTTTGAATACTTATGCTGAGACTTACGTATAGCATTCTTAACTTTGCGCAGTGGCATTATCGAAACCAATGAAGCGTGTCTGAGGTGTGATTATTGTTAATTGAAGACTTTGCCCAATACACCGCCAAAGGGGGACGTGAAACATACCGTCCACTAAGGCAATTTTTGTAAGCCCGAAAGGGTTTGATTTTCTAATTAATTTTGACTTTACAATGAAAACAAAAAGCAGAAGAAGACAAAAGAAAGTGGGGCGAGGAAGGAAGGAAGGAAGGCAGGAAGGTAGGAAACTATTATAGTTGACGAAAAGAAAAAATGTATAAATATTTATGTATATCATACCATTTGTGTTTAATTTAGTGATTTATTTTTTGCTGTATTAATTAAAAATTCAAATACAAGAGAAATGCCGCAAGAAGAAGGAGGAGAAGATATTTCATTATGTAATTTTTTGATCAAAAATTAAAGAACAAATAAGAAAATTATTTTCGGGTCCTGATCGAATCTTTTACACCCGTTATAGTTACCTTAAAAGAAAAAAAATAAATAAATAAATAAATAAATAAATAAATAAATTTTCATATCATATAATAAATATTGAGTAGGTACGTCTGATCTTTTCTATTTTCAGAATACAAGTTCAAATTTATACGGTGTACGTGTTGCACGTGTTGTGAGTAATTAAACAAAGAACAGGGAAAGGAAAGGTGTTTACAGTTTGTTTTTTTTTTTTTTTGCATAGGCGTGATGTAAGCGTTTTAGGCATGTCCTTTGGGCGGTTTAGAGTATTTTCAAATTCTTTTGCAAATTTTTACCCGATATCTTCATTTATGCGAACGGAAGAATGTTTAGCAAAGATATTGCCCAGACAGTATGGACAGATGGACAGATCGATACTGGCAGGAATTTATGTAATTTGGCAAAAAAACAATAAAATTTTATTGCACTATAATATTGGGTAGGCGTGGACAACTTTTTTTTTTTTGCAAGTACTGCAGCCATCGCTCGCTCATCGAGTTCAAATTTTTGTAGATTATTTGCCGTAGCTTACGAATAATAAGCGAAAAACCAATTTTTTATTCATTTCGAAAAACAAAATTATTCTCAGTTTACGTGCTCCTGCATGTATGCCCTCCGACCGATTTGACCCATTTTCAATACCAACCAGCATGCAAAAATATTCAATGTTTTTGGTACAGTTCAAGTCCATAGCTTAATTGTTTGCGGCCAGGAGGAATATACACAATAGATATTACATAGATGGACAGACAGACATGCTTAAATGAATCTTCTCTCTCATCCTTTGATGACGGCCAAGCAAATTTTCAATTTCCGAAATAATTTCTTTCTATCGATTTTGTGATATGACATAATGGCGTGATTAGTGTCGATCTCTTGAACTTTCACAGCTTAGTTTTCCTTTCTTAAGGAGAAATCGGAGCTGACTAGCAAGCGGAGCAATCCTTGTCTCAACTTATTATCTCTCTTTGTCTCGTGCTCTTGGTCACACATTCTCCCTCCTCATGAGTAGAGTTCACTACAATTTATCCGTAAGACTTTTTCTCATTAGCAGCAATCATTGAAGAAAAGAAACCCGATTTCCGAATGAAAGTGCAAATCATTTTTAAATCGCATTTACTTCATATACCGAGCTATTATATATATTTTGGATCATAATTTGAAATTCTTGAGTTCATGATGTTTTCAATTTTCAACTCCCTGCTCAAGAGACGGACTCAATAATGGTATTGGCATCGCAGAAAGTAAGCAAACACGCAACACATGTCTTACGCTTGAGTATACCGCGAAATGTTGATCGATTAAGTGTATTTGAGTATAAGTTGGAAATTTTCAAATTTTCAAACTTTAAAGAGCTAATCACTGGTTGCCCAATGATAAGATTTTAAAAAAAGTCAGTATTTAAGAACTGATTAGACACAAATCTAGCTAATGCAGAAATTTTGAATATTTAAAAAAAAAAAAAATAATAATAATAATAATAATAATAATAATAACAATAATACAGTAATAAGAGCAATTGCAATATTATGCGGGAAGTGAGCGAGAAATATCAGCAGATGTGGTCACGTGTAAATAAGTAATTAAGTAAGCAATTCATTGTTTTCTTAGCAATTTTGCTATGAATTCAAAATACTTCAATATTTTTTTTTTTTTTTTTTTTTTTTTTTGCTTATTTAATAAACTTAGTTTGATTTTTCCAAAAGTTTCTTGTATTACAAATGTTAATTAACACTCGTGACCGTAAAGTAAACGTAAAACAAAATGCAGAATTTTTTTTTTTTTTTCTGTAAATAAAATGATATACATACATACATACATACATACAATACAGAAACTGACAACGCAATACCATTAAATGAGCAAAAAAAAAAAAAAAAAAAAATCTGAAAACATTAATAAATTTTAAATAAATTTTTTTGTTCAACGTACAACCACCAAACCCGTCAAACACAGACGTGTATGTAAACTGAACCCTAGACCAAAAGATACAAATACGTATGAAAGTTAGGGCAATAAATGAAACGCATAAACCAAAAATTTCCTCTTGAATGTTGTTGGAAGTAGAAAACTTACACTTTATTACTACTAACCGATGACTATATAAATTGAAAGGAATAGATATGAAATTATTTTAAAATACAATAATGAATCTGATTGAGGGAAACATATTTACGATAATCAATAGTAGTTAATGAATTTATATTAAATTAATGACTTATGCAAAATCTTCTGTTCTGCTTTTCATATTCATAGGATATTTTCCGTAATCAACATCGCCTGATACGTTTCATTGAGCAATCGATTCGCTTATGCAGTAATCAATCATTAAAAGCTGCTCAACAGCAACAGCAGCAGCAACAGCAACAACACCAATTAAATAAAACTCAATTAGATGGTGATTTTAATATTTCAAAATCTTTAAATTCTGAACATTGGAATGCTGTACCTGAACCCGTTGAACATGATCCTGATGTTGGTCAACAATTTTATGGTAATCAATTAATGGTACGCTTGGCCTCGCCACAGCAACTACAACCGAAACCAGATCGTGATGAGGATTTAATTTTCGGTAAACAATTTACCGATCATATGCTAAAAATCTATTATCATAAAAGTTTGGGAGGCTGGCAACGACCCGAAATTACACCCCTTGAGAATTTAGTAATGCATCCGGCCGCCAAAGTTTTACATTACGCCGTAGAGGTAAGTTGATAATATCAATCGAGAAAAAAAAAAAAATATATATATATATATATATATAAATACCCAAAATTTAGCTTGAGCCTTCCATTAAGAAACATTTGATCTTTCTTCGCTTTTTGGGGTTCTTCTCACACGAATACCCATCAAATACATTTATTCGTAAGCAGAATATTGATTTGACTGTATGTCCGATTGTCTGTTCGTTGAAAGCGCGAAAGATCAAAAACTTTATCTAGAAAAAGTTATTTTATTTTAAAGTTTCTCTCATCAATTTCATTTCGTTTGAAAATCATTGCATAATTGCGGCTGCTCGCCGCATTAATACTACTTTTCGATCTTCTTAATTAACGCATTAGAACTTCAACACTTATAGTTTAGAGTGAGGAATAAACATTTTTCTCACTACTAAATCAGGCGACTTTTATTTCGCATACCAAAAATGCAGACTTCCCAAATGCTATGGACCTTAGGAGCCTATCTTGCAAACGAATAGTGATGGGTACAAATCAATTTGTCGTAGACTGATTTTTTTCTTTAATTGTTGCTGCTAATGGCAATTAATATCGTTATCAATTTCTGCTTTAGCATTCAGTAGCGTGCCATCAGTGATAAGATCGTTGACAATGTTAATATTCCATGTTATTAGATTGCTTCACTGATTTCTTTCCGATCCATAACCATGGGTTCAATTATTAATTATTGCAATATTTTTGGCTTATCTGCTAAAAAATATATTACTTTGTGATTACTTACCTTTTTAATTTTTTTTTTAACTTTGCTAGCTCTTTGAAGGCATGAAAGCTTATCGTGGCGTTGATGGAAAAATTCGCATCTTCCGACCTAATATGAATATGAATCGCATGAATTTGGCGGCGAAACGTTCGGGTTTACCTACTTTTGAGGGTAAAGAATTTATAAAATGCTTATCACGTCTTATCTCCATTGATTCGGAATGGGTACCTCATACACAAGCGGCCAGTTTATATATTAGGCCGACTTTAATTGGCATTGATGTAAGTTATTGAATTGATTTCTTCTTTGAAATCCTTATTTCAATTTTTATTTATATATATATATATTTAGCCTACATTGGGTGTTGCTTCGTCCGACTCTGCCCTTCTTTATGCTATATTAAGTCCAGTTGGCAGTTATTTCAAATCAGATAGCAGTGGTGCTGTGTCCCTATTAGCCGATCCCAGCTATACAAGGTGAATATATATTTGACAAATTATTTAAATTATTAATAAAAAAAATAAGAAGTAAATTGAAAGTTAAACAAAAAGAGAGAAAACCACGCTATTTAAAAATATTTATTATTGAATTGTTTATACAGAGCTTGGCCTGGCGGTGTAGGTAACCGTAAGATGGGTTCAAATTATGCCCCAACGATTAACGTACAAAAGAAAGCTGATGCGAAAGGCTTACAACAGGTTCTATGGCTGTATGGTGAAACTCATGACTTGACCGAAGTGGGTACAATGAACATATTCATGTTCTTTATCAACGATAAAGGAGGTAACATTTTTCTATAATATTTATTCAATTTTATTTTATCGTTAATGACACAATTATACGTTTGACCTATATATAGAAAAGGAACTGATAACACCACCTTTGAATGGTTTAATCCTGCCCGGTATTACTAGAGATTCAATATTAGCTTTAGCACGTCAATGGGGTCAATTTAAAGTTACCGAAGGTACCTTCAACATGCCTAGAGTTTGCGAACTGCTTAATCAAGGACGAGTATGTATTTGTTTTTTTTTTGAAATTGAAAAATATATAAAAATGTTTCATAATGATTTCATTTATTTAAATCATTATCATTAGTTGCTGGAATTATTTGGAACTGGTACTGCGTGCCTGGTAAGCCCCATTAATCGCATACACTATATGAATCAAGATCTCTATATACCCACCATGGAACAAGAGAAACCGGTCCACGAAACGATACGCACAGCATTGACCGATATACAGTACGGAAAAGTACCACATCCTTGGGCCGTTGTCATCGAATAGGTTAAGTGTTAACTTCTTTTTCATTTTTTATGATCTAAGTTAACCCAGGAGAGTTAAGATATACTTTTAAGGTTTTTGTTGTCTTATTACTGCAAAAACAACGACCTGCGTATTAATAGTTTATAATTTAGTTTAATTATATTATTTTTTTTTCTTAAAAGAAGAAGAAGAAGAAAAACAAATCGATTCATTATTATAAACATATAATAATTAGGAAAGCGTATAAGAGGCAGCTTTTTTGTTAAGCGGGATTTCGGTAGATGGTGTGAAAAGTTCACGATTACAGGTTTGAGTACTCGCGACTTTTGTTTAAGCATTTAAATATGTTTATTTATTTTCATTTTGTATAGAATTTTTTTAGTTTTTCTTTTCATTTTCAATTTTTTGATTTTTATAAGCAACAAACAAAAGAGAAATTTGAAGCAGCGCAATTGCCTCAAGTCATGTAAATATGTTTATGTATATATTTCGAAAGAATCAAAATCCGTTCATTAATCGGATGTGATCTTTTACTAACCATAAAATTTATGGTTAAATAATAGGAAAAACAAAATTAAGAAAAATATTTCAAGATATCTCGGGTCTATAGTACGCCAAAGAGATTTTTATTGCTCAGCACATGTGTATGATTTTACATTACATTTTTATTTTCATTTTCATTTTAACTTTAATTTCCTTTTTAGCTTTATTTTATTATTTTATTTAATTTTTTTTTGTTTTCTTTTTTTTTTTAATTTAATCCTATATTTCTAATTATTTTGTAAATATAGTCTTTAAGTAGTTGTTAACACTCAGGGGCTATATTTAAAAAAAAAAAAAAAAAAAAACATTAAAAAAAAAAACGAAAAACAAAAAACACAAAAACCAAAATTTTTTTCTCTTTAATATCTTCCCACCACCACTTCATTTACACCCAAAGTACCGGAAAAAGTGCATTTATTCTGTATTAAGTTTTTATTCGTTCGTTCCTTTCGTTTCTTCTATGAATCGGTCGAATTTTTTGTTTTTTTTTTTTGTGTTCATTTTAGTTTTTTTTACTTTTTATTTTTATTTTTTTTATGTATTTTATGAGTAATTTTTTAATTTTATTATTAAGTGAATGCTGCGAGTCACATCCATAACGCACTAACAACAATCTTGAAATGTATAGTAAATTTATATTTATACATGCGAAGTTGATTTAAATTGAAAATAATACAAAAAATAAAAAAAAATTTCTTTTTTTGTTTTGCAAAGCACCCTAATAATGTTGTCTTATTATGTAAAATGTAATTAAAAGTCCGCACCGTCTAGCGTTGGCATCGTCATTACATTACATTCATTACACAGTGGTAATTAGGTCAACTAGCTTTTCAAATTATGCAATCAAGAAAAGAATTGCACTCAGACATGAAGACGATATTTTAGCTGAGGCATTTGCACTGTAATGTGCTAAACTGGGGCAAATTTTTTGTGGCGGTTAATCGGAAAATGATCGAAAATAGATGGAATATATATCCCGAAAAGTTTCATGGTCGATAACTTAGGTCGGCACCCAGGAGTCTTGTACTGCATTATGGAACACGAGTAACTACGTGATACGCTCATATGCTTAACATCAATAAAACGACGACCTAAAATGCCTACTTCGACCTGTTAAAAATACATAGAGAATTGATCAGAGAAAGGCGCTATAAAACACTTCACTCAAAAAGTTCGTAGGATGACATGTAGGTATAAAATGATTATTGACAAAGCCATTTTATTTTTAAATAATATCAACTTTCTAATGAAGTGTATCAAAATTACATTAAATTCCGGATCATTAACTTGCATTAAGTTACATTCGTTTTGTAATTTTCAAAACAATGAAAAAATCTAAATTTCGTAGGCTGTTGCAGCATCGCTTTTTAACAGAGAACAATGCTGGGAAAGCTCAAGTAAAGCAAGATCTTGTTCCGACTCTATTCGATCGAAGCGAATGGTAGAAAAGTGCTTTGCTGATTTTAAATGATGCTGAACCCTCTGATCGGCCGTGCTCGGTCGTTTTTCCGGAAAACATAAAAAAAAAAGTGCACAACATTGTTTTTAAAAACCGAAAAGTGACGTTGCTTGAGATAGCTGGTACCTTAATGATCTCAGCAAGAAGGCAGTGTATTTACTATTTTATATCAAGACTTGTGCATGAGAAAGCTCTTTGTTCGAAGTGGTTGTTGCGCGCTGACGATTCAAAGCGCAATTTCGAGCTGCTCAGGTGATATACTAAAAATTACTTTTTATCGGATATGTGCCGACAGCCGAGTGGATAGTAGCCGCTGAAAGCCCGACACTCATCGGGCATCGAAATGTTAGAAAAGCATTGGACTGAATGTGTGACTCTTGAAAGAGACTATGTCAATGATTGAGGTCAAATTTTGTCTGAAAGTTGTCACTTTATTAGTGGCCTTGCAATCTTATTGGGTAATGCGTTATATTTTTTGGGGCATATAAAAAGTCGCCGCTGTTTTTTGGTACATTTTTTAACAAAAATTGTCTTTATTGAAAATCAATTTTAATCAAGTAAATATTGACCGTTATTATCAATGAACTTTTACCATTTTTCGAATAGTTTCATAATTCTATCAATGTAGAACGTCTGTTGTTTATCGTCGAAAAACTTTGCCAATTTTTTACCTTCAAGAGAGTTTTGCAGAGACCGAAACAAATGGTAGTCAGACGGTGCAAGGTCCGTGCTATACGACGGATGCATCAAAACTTTTCCAACCAAAACCAACTTCAGTCAATTTGGTCCGAGTTATCATAAATTCTAATCGCTCTTTCTGAATTGCTCCGATGATGCGTTAGAGTTTTGTATAGTGCAGGACCGAATTGATTGGCTGCAGTAACTCGTAATGGACAATTTCCTACCAATCCCATCAAGCACTCAACATAATCTCATTTGCGGACAGTCCAGGCTGTGAACTCATTTATGAAGAGCCATTAGTTTTTGGCCACGATCGCTTAGGCTTGATATTCTCGTATTTCACCCATTTTTCATCGCCTGTAATGATTCGCTTCAAAAATGGTTCGATTTCGTTGCGCGTGAGTAACATTCCACTGATAGTAATTCGGTCAATTAAATTTGTTTTTGAAAGACGAGATACCCCTTTGGCATGGAATTCAGATTCTAATCAAGAGATAGAAACCCTTTTTAGTTTGCGATGAAAATAATTTCAATAAAATAAAACTTTAGCATTCTTCTACAATAAGAGGTTTTTTTTTTTTTTTCTAGTAAGAAACGAAAACATTTGGTCTGATCTTATCTGCACTAAACTCTTAGATAGATATGCTTGATAAATACTTATAATAAGTTTCCGATCAACATCTGCCATTGACTGCAAGTCTCGGAGTTTCTTACCTATCGTAAATATGCTTAAGGGCGAATCACGTTCATATTTAACCTCAATACGTTCACGGACACTAAAAAGATTTTCATGAACTGCAAAGATAGACAGCGAGTATTTTTTCAAAATTTATTGAGAATAATCAGAGTATATATCATGACATACATATATATAATGTATAACATCCATGATGTGATCATGTCGTATCGAACTTTTCAACTACAATTGGTTTTAAAATTTGAATGCTATAGCATTTATGTCATTTCGGTTGACATTGAAAATGAAAACTATACACGTTTGCTGTCATCAGCTAATCTTACGCGGTATGCACGTAAATTTGAAATCGAAATTTACCCATAGACCTCTCTTGCCACCATAACCTCTTCTTGACATATGACAAAGATTTCCAACTTATAACAATAAAAGTTTCATACGAGAGCATAGTTTGTAATAACGTTGTCGAGCGCGTACGATATACCCAGAAGACGTTTTTGTATCACCCGATACGAAAAGTGGATTAAACTATGATAACCAAATGTCTATCGTTTTGAAAATATTTTTATTGACCATCGCCGTCCACCTTTACCAATTTATACTCAGAACAATTTTTATTCATCAGCAATTTCATCAAACATCCCTTTCGATCTGAAAGATTACTTCTCTCAGATTTACTAAAGTACTATACCGGATGGTCTATTAATTTAAAGCTTTGCATGCTCACCATCTTATGACGAAGTAATATTTGAGGTTACGTTACGCTTAGCTAGCAGAGATGTGTTATTTATTTATTTTTATTTTTTTTCTTTAATCAGCCATTCAGGGGATATCTCCAATAGGAGTGAGCACAGTACTGATTTGAAAGGATTATAAATAGGAAGAACGACCAGAATGACGTGTGACGTAGATGTGCCTTCAATTGATGCTTTGAATCGATATAAGCTCTTCTTTCTGCCTGATGTTTCTGCCATATTTGTTTATGCTTCATCCATTGGCCGATCGTTTCGAAATATTTTGATGAGATTGTGTATGCTGAGCGAATTGTGAACGAGACTGAATCCTATCGAATATGGATTTGCGTTCAATTACAAGCAATTGTTATATGCTAGTGTTGAATATTTTATGGTTCACCTTACGTAACTATATTAATTTTTGCATATTTCCATGTTCCACGTCCAATTAAAGCTTGCGCTGCGACATATTAAGTTATGTCGGAAAGGAATTATTATTTACGTACAAGCAGTTCGATCACGAATGAACTCGCTTAGATATGGCTTATTTTAAAAGACTACGTCCTGAACTCGATTACTGTCTACTTTCAATGTCACTAGAAGGAAGAAGAAGATTAGAAATCTTCGGAGCCATATTAGTGAGCATCTATCTATCTATCTAAAACCCGATCGTTATGTTAACGTAAATCAAATTATTTTTCACTCTATAGGGGGCCAGCGAAAAATAGTAAAAAGTCACACAATTCATACAATAAATGATTTTTTAAATTGAATTTTATTGTTTTTCTTCTTTTTTTTTTTTTTTTTTTTTTTAATAAATAAATAATTAAATAAATAAATTTATAAATAACTAAAGATGAGAAATGGGGAGGAAGGGTGGTAAGAGAAAATATTATATAAAAAGTATTAATATTTTTTTTAAAAGTGAATACAATTAAATAATTTCGTTTTACACAATCCTATGCCTCTTCATAGAGCAATTATTTGAATTTGTTGATGCCGTTTATTTTATTGTTTAATTAAATTTTTGGCTTTTTTTTAAAGGTACAATGTTTATAAGTTTTTTTACCGTAATTCAATCGATAACTATCAATAATTTGATTGCATCAGCACACACATGTTGCGTGTTGCTTTATTTATAATTACGTTAACATTTGTGTTTAGTTTTGATTTTTCTTTTCTTTTCGTTCATTTTTTTTTTTTTTTTTAATATTTATTGTAATTTATTTAATGGAAATTTTGTGCTATGATGGTTCTTCTTCTATGGTCATTTGCTTGAGCATATGCATACGCGGCGATCATTTAAAAAATGCACGGAATTTTTCAATTTAAATGGCTGCGGTATATACAAGTCAAATTGTCGAATTAATTTTTTTTATTATTGTGTTCATATACTTGTGAGCCCTTGTGAGCCGAGTGCAGCTTTGTATTTATTTTGGAGATTTGGTTGACTGGTTCAAAACTTACACTACAACGACGCATTAACGTCTTTTGCAAAATTGAGGTAAAACGGAAAATTAATAGCTTTTCTAGATCGTCTTTTCATCCTTGAAATCTCTTTACTCTCTCTCTCTCTCTCTCTCTCTCTCTCTCTCTGAAACACTTTTCAAGATCAGTTCAGATCGTATTAAAAGTGGCAGCGATTAAAGGGCAAATGTACTCATGTCCATTATCACTTTTCTTGTGTTCAACAGTCGTACTCCGATTGAATTGTTGAAAATTCAAAGCATGCCATGCTCAGGTCTTATATATGCTACGATAGATACTTTCGTACCCATTTTTATTGAAGCACTTTTCATTACGTTAATTTATACAGTATACGAACTGTTCACATTTGCCACATGTCTTCGGTCCAATCTATCCGTAACCATTCGTACTGTAGCTTGCTTTTTTTTGATTTTCCTAATCCCTCTCGCTGCGATAGCGCAGGACTTGCAAATTCTTCCGCGAATTGCAGCAAAGCTTAAAGTATATATTATGACGGACTATTATTCGCTTAATTATCATTATGTAACATTTTTATGACATCTT